TACATGAAGAAGAAAGCCTGGGGTAAGTGCTAGAGAAATGTCATGGTACCTTTAGGTGAGCTTTCACAGTAGAAAAAAATAAATGAAGGGATAAAAATAATCAATGCAGATACTTAATAAGATACTTTTACTAGAAATAACATTTGGCATTAATGTTCATCATTTCACCACTTTTTCTCTTTTGCCACCAAATCCTCTGAATGCTTTAAGTACCTCTGCATACATAAGAACTCTGTTTGATTCTAATAAGTCTATTTATCTGCTCACTTAAAAAAGTTTGAAAGACTGTAAAGGAATTCTGCTCTGCTCTTTTTAAGACCAGGGAAAAAAAAAAGTGAGTAGGAGCTTTTGCCCTTTTCCGAAAAATATAAAGATAGCATATGGAAAGCAGAGAGCTAAACCTAGGCATTGAGAGGAGAAGAATCATACTCTGTGAGCAAGCACTTCTCAAGTCCAGTTGGCCTGAATGTGAGAAGAAGTTGTAATATCTAGTAATGAAATATCAGCTCCTGATGGCTTGCTTTAAGGTGAAAGAAAAGCAACTGTTAAGGATGATTAAATTTTACTGCTGAAAACTGGGGCAAGGCTGTGGATAAACTAGACTGTCAGTCAGGAAGAGAAGGTGTTGTAATGGCTTTAGGGCTGAAAGGTTTTTGTTTTTGTTTGGTTGGTTATATGTTTTCACTAATATATGTAGAGTGGGAATGAAAGAATTGAAATAGGAATTCTATTTCTTTGTGATTAGTTCAAGATTGCCTGATAGAAGCTTTAATAATGCCTTGTTGAAGACTGCAGGTACTTATTTCTATTGGCTGTTATTATGAAAAAGTCTATTTTCTTTTACAACTAATTACTTAAATATATTCACTACTTATAAACATAGCCTCATATATAACATATATCTTTCTCTGAACAAAAAATCTTGTAATACTTTATTAAGGATCTTTTTACAATCAGCTTTGTTTCTGAGCTAACTATTGCAAAAGAGATAAGAAATCAGTCTGGCTTCCCAGTATGTTACTTTTTAAAGCTATTGATTAAGGTCTTGTAGATTATTTCTCTGGTAGTGTTAATGGCTAGGGATAAGATTATCTGCTCCCATAGACAGGCACACAGAGAGATGTTTTCTCCACAAGTAATTCTCTTGTAAATGACATCTGTGCTTTCTCTTTATGTTCCTGAATCCTTTTTTTTTTTTTTCTGTGGAAAGCACTATGCTTTCATTATTGTGCATTACTGAAGAGCCTAGCTCTTGTGATCTCACTAATAACTCATAAGACTGAATGAACATTATACAATGCATCATCTAAGAAAGGTGTGCTGATGATCTACAGCGCAATTTAGATGTAGATGTCACCCGAGGAAGATGGTATTAAGCTGCAAACTCAGCGTAGTTGTGAAATAGGGTTTGCTGATGCTGGTGATGCTTGCTTCTGTTTTCGGGACTTAATAATAATAGTAATAATAATAATAATAATAATAATGTGACCTTGTTCTTGAATTAGAAATTAATCTGTGTAGGTGTGTGTGTCTTTTCTTAAACTGCTGCTGTGTCAGTTGATCAAGTCAATCCTCACAAGTATGACCAAAACTTGTCTTTGATGGGCTGATGTGAATACGTGGGGTGAAAGAAGCAATGCTGAATAACACATGCATAGATAAATATGGAAGTCGGTGCAGGAAGGGCAGCTGAGGAAGGTGGAGCTTTGGCTGCACAACCAAAGGATCTTCTTTGAGGAGGTGGGCTGGATTAGGTGACTTCCAGAAGTTCCTTATGACTAGTCTGTGATTTATGAAAATGGGCAAAATGCTGGCAGTGATGATAACCTGTGAGAAACTCATCTGTGGCAGAAAAGTCTGTTGTGGACTATCAGTCAAAATGTAGGAGGAAACAAGTTGGAAAGGAATCTAGAATGAGACATTTCTGTGCTCATGTAACTTCAGCCTATGACTAATAGATCACGGTTTTGGGTTTTCTTGCACAGGCCTAAGTTGATGATTGAAAGGATTGCTGCATGTGAACTTCAAGTACAGCCTCATGTATTGCTAGACGCTGGAATTAGTGCTGGTAACTGCTTTCTCTGTCTCTAATTCTCGCTGTGCATGAGTAAGCACCTTTAAAGAGCTACACATTATTCCAGCCACTGCCTGATTGCCAGAGCAACATCTTATTGTCAGGAAAATATTTGCTTCTGATTTTTTGGGGAAAATTGTTCTGTCATCATGCCTAATTCTTCCTGTCACTCTTTAAGAACAAATACGGGAAAGTAGCACCCCTGGAGGTCTACTGGGTGGCCCTTCTGGAGCTCTAGATGACAATAAACATTTTTTTTTCTTGCTGGATGAAGGCTAAAGCTTTTTCCACCATGTGGTCTGATGGGGATTTGGGATTTTGTTTGTTGTGAACAGATTAGTCCTGAGAAGTTAAGATGGGCTCCTCTCACCTCCCATCCACATTGCTCTTGTGGTCTAATTTTACGTTTGAAGAGGAAACTCTGATGCATCAATATTTAATTCACTGTGTGGAAAGAAGCCATACAATTTTTTTCATTCTCAGTGTCTAATAAATCAGTGTCTCAATAAAAAACAGATGATTTAACCTGAGAGACAGGAAGGTGGGGAACAAGTCAAAGAAATGGAGTACTCTCACAGTTTGTTCAGGCTTTGTGTTGATTAAGGCCATCAAGCTCCAATAGAGGTCAAGTGTCCAGCTGCCACTTCCCTGTCTCTTAGCAATTCAGCTCCTACTATAGCTCTTCTACCAAAAAATGTTGCTATGATTTGGTCTAGTAAAATGAATTAAGTCCTGCGGAGGGCTGCTGGTCTACAGCCACTGTGAGGGGTCAGTCCTTGATACAGTTTCTTCACTGGGGCAGTGGAAGGGAGAGTTTTATTTTAGGTATTGAAGAGTTTGCTGTTAATAGGGAATTCAGTTTTGGGATGGTGCATGTGATTATGAGTACACCTTCCACCATGAGTAAGGTCACTGTTCTCCTTACACTGCTATTAATGGGGTTTTGACTCTGCTGCTGTCAGACACTAATTTGAGATATGCTGGGAACTATTTGTGGACTTATTGTTAAGGCTTGTAACGATAAACAAGCAACAGAAGCTGCTTTCCGAACAGCAAAGATAGGAGTTATATAACGACTGTAGGTTATGAAAGATTTTCATCACAGAAAAATACTCTTCCCAGGCCAGTCCCTGTGTATTAAGAGGCGCTTAGGATATTTCTGAGATAGATGACAAATAAGAAAAACAAGCATGAACTTTTTCTTTTGCTGTATTTCTGCATAATTATTTTTAATTCTCCCTGTCATGTGATGAAGGTGAGAGTGTTTTGCTGGCTTGTAAAGGATTGGTCCTTTGTATTATGTACTTTGGAGATTTATATGTTAAGCGAAAAAGAACAGTAATGAAAAGTATAAAGAGGAAAAAGTGTAGAACTTCCTCCTCAGTCTTATGACAGACAAGTAGATAATAATAAATGACTCCTATGCAGGACATAGAACTTGCAAAAAATGATCAGAGTAAGGTCTGAGGGAAAAGAAATAGCTAAAAGCTTGAAAATACCCTGTAAAGGAAGAGGCAGACTTCATTTTCAATAATCATTTGATGTTCCAGTGGGTTTTCTTCTTTCCATTCTCTAATTTTTAAGCTAATTAATAGTATAGTGACATCTAATGAAATCTTAAAGCATAAGCTTAAACTGATTTTCTCTTTCTGTGGTTTTATCTTGGTGGGAGCAATTACTTTTAAAAGACTTAAATATCTCTTTAATAAGACTTCTTTATGGTGGTGCTGTGACCCTTTTTAAGGAGTAAGTATGCTAGAAGTCCTATATAGATAACCTAAGTGCATTTCTTGATAAAAATTGGGTTGGGTTAATTACATTTTCACCAGTGACTCCAAGAGAGCATGTCTATCTGCATTTGTGTAAGTAATATAGTGTTTTTCTTCCATTGTTTGTACTGAACCATTGCCACAGATTGTTAAGGGACACTTTGCTGCCAATTATAATGTTTCTAACAACGTGTAAATCCAAGGTCTTCACCTCTTGTGGCAGTTAAAGATACCAGTGCTATTTTTTTTTTCTATTTTTTTTTTCCTTGAATACGAAGATAATGCTCATACTTGCTTAAGCCTGAGCTTAACAGTTTACTGTTAAAGGGTATGGGAACTTTGTCACTGACTTTAGGAGAATCAAAGTATGTGCAAGTTTTTGTCTCTGTGGTTTTAACTAGATAAAGGAATTCTAGTAACTTAGGCTTCAGTTCAGCTCAGTTTGTATCAGCATGTTAAAGATTGGACCAATATCTGGAGCTTCCCTGAGCTTTTAATTGTTGGGTTTTTCTTATGACCTTCAGCTCATATACATAAATGGGGCCATGTTTCACACACCTTATCTCTGCAATAGGTAAGTAGCATTTTATGTTATAAGGTTGGTCTTTCAACCTCTTTCAAAAATAAACATTTATTTATGCAAACAATTCCATTGAAACAGGATTGTTTGGATATCTAAAGACCAGTATGAGATTAAGTGATTATGCTGCTTTAAGAAGAAAAATTACTTTGAGCTCTGTTTCACTACTACTGTTATGTAAATTGTTAAAGTTGTTAAAAAACTCTAAAATCCTCAAAGCTATTTCTTTCAATAATGCTTTATCAAAGTTATATTTCATGTTGATTGCGCCTTTGCCTTGGAAAGGGAAAAATGGAACAACTGTAAAATTCAACACTTAAGGATTGCCGTTGATTTTATGTAGAAGCGAATTGTATGCAACACTGATTACTGCAAGCACAAAACTTAGAAAAATCAGGAAAGATGGAAGGCGTATATTTTGTTACTATATTTTGTTACTATTTCTTATATGTTTTTTTTCTGCAGATAAGATTAAAGAAATGTGGTTGTGTTCCACTCTGTATATTCATTTTCACTACTTATTTTCTGAAATGCTCATGGTGGCTTATTATTGCAGGAGAAACTTAATGTTGACAGCATGGGACATCAGGTGATAATATTTGACTTTTCTCTCATAAGAGGACTGTGGGAAGGTCGTGTTAAGAAGTTTAAAGAACGTCAAAGGAAGGAGAGAGAAAGATTAGAAAAGAGCTCATTGGAGCGGTAAGCCAACTTTTTTTGTTCTTTTTAACTGAATCTATTAGCAAATCTGTTACCAGCACAGTGTATAGTCAGTTGATTCAAACTTGTTGGATTTGTTTCTCAGTTTTGTGGCTTATGCTGAAATGATTGTAACAGAAATGATGCACAAACTGTGCTTGTATTTCATTATTCCATACACTTTCCTATGCAGATTGTGATTGATTAATGGTGTTTTTCACTGTTCCACTGTCTCGATATAACTTGAAGAGAAAAATAATGCACTTCATACTCTTATAGTTCATATATGCAATATGGAAGTGTTTTTTGTTATGGAATTAATGAAAACATATGCACAAAGTTCTATATTAAGAAATACTGTAGCTCTTTGTTGAGCTGACAGGATAAACAAAAAGGAATGAAATAGAAATATACAATTGTTCTTACATTGGAAGGAGATGTCTAGACAAAAGAACTACCAGACGAGTTTTCTACTGTCCAAAATATTAGAGAAGCTTTAATATAATACTTAGACTTACTAACAACATTATTGTTTTTGTTATATTTTATTTATGGTTTGTTTAAGTAATATTTTGGTTTCTTTATGTTCTTCCCCATTAGAGACAATGAAATACTATGCTCTGCTGGTACTGTTGGAGACATGACTTGCCATTGTTTCCCTTGTGAAAACAGAATAAAGCCATAAAAATACTTTGTGTTTTAAAACTGAAGCGCCCAGGGATAAACAGTGCCCTGGCAGAAGGCAGCAGCGAGTCTGGGGGCAATGCTTTGGCTTGCTAAGGGAGTCCAATTTGTGGGTTCACTGACTTTGGGAGTTCAGAGTTAATATGAACTCTGACCATGTTTTTCACATTGTTTTTCACTTTAAAACACTCAAAGTCATATTTTTGATCCCCTCTTTCCCTAATATAAACCTTCATAAAAAGAATCCTAAAAAAAAAAAAGTTCTCGTCCTTCAGATTGCATTTGCTGTTGGAGGGTAAGCTTCTCCTTTGACAAAGGTGGAGGGATAGATAACTTTGTTGTGTTACCTTTATGAAAGAAAAAGAAGCAAAAGGGTTTGGGATCTGGTAAAACCAAACCAGCACTATGATTTGTGTAATTCTGTGGCAGATAGAGTGGAAGACTTTGCAGTACTTCTACATGTAGGTTAGTGCCTCTCGCCGTGCCGTTGCAAGTGCCTCTCTGAAAGGATTTTTAGGAGGGATGCATGGCTTCTAATCGTGCATGTCTGAAAAGTCAGTCTAAGAGAGGTAAACGGAGTGACAACATTTTCTGTTGGTCTGCTGGTAGCAGAGATTGCTTCTAGTGTGACTAATACAGAAAGACTGTACATTGGGAACTCCTATATGCAAGGGTGAAAAGAAGATGGACTCATATACAACGAGGTAGCTATTTCTAGCTCACATATCTTTTGTCTGTAATGTTAGTTAAGACTCAAACTATCTCATTAATTGTGTTTTCCTTAAAAGCAATATGCTCTACCTTCCGCTTTCATCTGTGGTTGTTTCTGTGGCATCTTTAAACACCTCTTTGGGTAAAAAGCATGAAGTTTGTGGTCTGTTCTGCCTTTTCTATTAATGAAATCAGGACACAGGGAAGTATCAAGTTGCAAGTGTGCTCTCAGCATTCACAAAGGCATTTTGTTTTCCTCCTTTAACTTACAACATGCAGACAGGACCTATTCCACTGATCTGCTTCATGCTCATCAATAAGATGCCTCTCCAGTTAATACTGTTTCTCTTCATACTGAATGAAACTGGAAGAATAGAGGTCATAATCAAAAAAACCTTGGTAACAAAAGACAAAATTCAGTTTAAAGAAGAATGATTTTATTTTAAAATATGCACCTATCACTGGCCTTTATGTTCTAAAGGTCAGATGATAAGTTGGTGCTTTTCAGTGCTTTTGAAGGTAGGCCATGATTTTGCTTCTAGCTAACTTAGAAAATAGTGAAATTTCTAATTATTATCAAATTAATAATAGAAACAATGTCTCCCTATGGAATATTTCATATTTTCAGGGAGTTGCATGTTTGAGAAAATTATGCTGGTCTATTCGCTGATTAAAATCTTACTACTCTTGAGCAGGTCCACTGAAATTACTGTTATACTCACTGTCGATTAATAATAAATAAATATTTTGCAAAGGATTCTAATGCAAAATGAAAATCCTCAAAGGACATTCAAAGAGGCAGCTTCCCAGACTGAAGATTGCATTATAACATTTAAGATTCTAGATATTTACTTTTGCCAGCAGATGGAGTGAATTCCCAAGTAAGATTGAAATTATAATAGTTTCTCTGCAAATACACTGGTGTAACAGATGAATTTGAAACTGTCTGGCTGAGGCTGCTGCTTTCCTGCTTTCCTCAAAGAGGCTCTAATTCACTAATGCTCTTGAGAGCTGTATGCAGTTCCTCATCAGTACCATTGCAATGTAAAATGACCTGGTAATATGCGGTGAAAGGCAGTAAGTGTTATTTGAGAAAAAAAAACTCCAGTTAGCCTCCAGAGACTTCTGCTTGTCTTGAGGCAAGGTAATTTAGTTTGTGGAGATCTGTAAACAGTCACATTTGAGACTTTCCTTTTTTTTTTTTTGTTTCTTCTTTGTTTTGTTTTGTTTTGTTTTGTTTTGTTTTGTTTTGTTTTGTTTTGTTTTAACTGAAGATTTTCTACCAGGGAAACTTCACAAATAAATGCAAAGCTCAGATACTGTTTGTATTAATGGTGAGACTTTGTGAAGATTTGGGAAATCTACAACTTCTGGAACAGATGTTTAAACAGCTGGCCAGTAAAACTTGATTCTAAAGAACACTGTACTGAGACAAGTGATATCAGCAAGGGCTCATAGCTGGCTCCTCAGATATGAACATACTGCTCCAAAATTAATCCCAAAAAAGGAAAAAATTATCTGTATATTAAAATTCTCATTATAGAAAAAAAGGGTTTTTTTCTTTTTTTCCATTTTTTTCTTTCTCTTTATTTATTTTTTTGATGAGGAATATAAGAAGGTAAAATTTACAATTTGCTAGATGCTTTGATGATTTTTTGGAAGGATTGCAATGTGTTTACTTATTATTTAAAAAGGAGGTAAGGTAAAATTTGAAGGCTCAGCAATTAAGCAATTAAGTAAGGGAATGACAAAACTATTTTACTAGATTAGCTGTCTAAATCTGAGCTGTGAAATGGCGCTGCCTTCCCTGTCCACCTGCCAAACATACAGGAAAAATAACTGTTGAGCCACATACCTTGATGTTTCTCTTCTCCAAAACTTTCCTTTGGAGGGCTGGCTAACTACTTGTGTGCATATGACTTTTCTGAAATATGTACTTCCTAAGTACTAAAAGTTTGATTTTATAGGCAGAAAGTAACTTATTTCTCTGCGAGTTTATTTTTTTCTTAATAAAATAGGTTTGTCTCTATTTCTATGTCAAACTTTATTGTCGTAATGCATTTGTAGCTGAACTAAGATTTTCTTTGTGAAGTTTATCTTTATTCTCCTCATCAAAACCAAATTTGGATTTTTTTTCTGAGCAAGCTTATATCTCAGGCTGGTAGTCCTTAGCCCCAAACAAAAATATTACAAAAATTATGGGTAACAAAGTCAGTACATAATCTGGCAGCAGCTCTGCAGCACTAGGAACTACTTTTGCTATTTGTCTTTTCTTTTTATGCATTTGTGCATGCAGACCTTGAATCTGATATACTGAATATATGTGTGTTGAGATAGAAGAGCCGCTGTTCCTCCACAATCCTTTATATCCCATGGAAGAGCACAGCAGATTGACTGAGATTGAATCAATGGTGTTGAAACTGGGGTGAAAAGTTATTAGTCTGTCATTAACATTAGTCTGGGCTGTGCTCCAGTTTAACTGTGCTGCTCTTCTGAAAATTTGGTAGGATTATTGAATGATCCTGTGTGGCTCTTGATTCTGATTTAAAGGTCACTCAGGAGCACTAAACTGGTGTCATCAAGTAACGTCCTGCTTATTTCTTCCCTCCTGATTTAGAGGAAACAGTGCCCTCTAATGAAACTTAATTCCCTTACTTAACTTGCCTAGGTTATTCCTGAAGACCTCATAATCAGACATTTCACAAAAGGGAAGGAAGAACTACTTATACTTTCAAAGAAAAACAAATATTCCCTCTGGGATGACTTGATCCTTACTAATAAACTTTGTTTTCCAAGCTGGTGACTCCTTTGAAAGGTACAATCACTGAATTTATCCAACAGTAATTATTTGCATCAGGTTGATTAGATCTGTGGTATTGTTGGAGAATCTAAAATGACAAGCAAGGAGCTCCCATGTCCCCATAAGGAAATACTGATTTACAACAAATCTTAATTTTATACTGTTTGTTGCAGATATGTTCCAACAGTGATGTAATGCTTGAAGACTTGAAGATAAAACTTGAAATCAAACAGAAATAATTGTTTTTCTCTATTATTTCTCTGCTCATCCTACCTCTATATCTATATTTACAGTATGTCTTCTTGCAAGCTTACTGAAAACCAAGAACATTTTAAGCTCTAGTAAATATTTTTTAGCTTGATAGAAATAACGTTTGCTCTACAGCATTTAAAGTTTGTTTTGCTGAATTTGCATTTTTTACAGATACAATGGTACTTTGTTTGATACAAATACCTCACTGGATCTGCATAAGCACATGTACTCTGCCTTACTAAAATTAGTGAAACTATTTTCATGATTGAAGTTGAAGTACTTGAGATAGCTAGCTGAGCTGGAACATGAGATTTCATCTGGGTGCTATGTCCAGAAAACATATTTTTCATACTCATACATTCACCTAAATGAGGCTTAACTGGATTAAAATTCATTTTTTGAAAATTGAAACTGATAGTTCTTTCTTTAATGAGTTGGCATGTGCTTAATCAAGCTCTGGAGGAAGATCAAACTATTTTACTGCTGAGCATTTATAAGAAGACAAACTTAGCAGGGTTGTGGTTTCACAACCTACTCATTTGTCTTATGTGAAAATGTGTTCCTGCACTATTTGAAGCCTTTAAAATTGCCAAGAACAGATTTTTTTCTTTTTTTTTAACAAGAATATTAGCATATTTAAAGACTGCTTTTGTGTATATATATATATTTTAAGTTTGCCACACTGCTCTAGATGCCTTTTCTACTTTTCCTGAACATTTATGCAGCAACCTTAAAAAAAACCCTAGTGGTAATCCCATTCTATATAAGGATTGCAACTAAGGGAAAACTTAATGGTCTTTAATTTTTGTAAGGATCATTACAGAAGCAATATTAGCTCTAAACTCTGGCAAGGAGTAGACAGAGCTGAGCAAGACATGTACCCGAACAGCTTCCTTTAATCTGATATGCATCGGTAGTATGCAATCTACTGCATTGCAATCTTTGTTTAGAGATATGTATCAGTGTTTACCACAAGTCTCTCAGCTTTTCTGCACTTGCACGAGATTAGAAGAGCATACTAATAATACAGCCAGTCACTGGTTTATAAATCACGCTTCCAGTCTGGGGAGACTCATACTGATTCACTGGGTTAATGTGTACTCCATGGTACAGTGCACGGTATTGCAAGTGATTAGACCCTCTGCCCTGGGGATGTATCGTGTTTTCATTCTGACATGTACTGTACACAATTAGGCATGTTTGCTGCATTATTAATTCACTTTCTATCTATTCAAAATGTACTTGTACATAATATTTGGTGACTGTAAGAGAGTATTCTTGAAAAGCGTAGAAAAGCGTGCAGCTATAATTTGATGTTTGATTAAAGAAGAAATCTGACACAGTATGAATCCTTATTCATGTTGGATTCTTCACTAGATTTAATTTTTATTGACTGTTTTTCTTTGGGGCTGCAAGGAATGATTCACTTATTTCTTTGGGCAAGGAAAGAACTGTGAATATGAGGAACATCAAGGAGTGAAGTTTTTCCAGTGCATTGCATTATGCACTGAAATCAAATGTTTAATTCTTTGGAGAATAAAGGAATTCCAAGAAATGAGAGGGTGATTCTGCAGGGTTTAGCTTCACAGAGGGACAGAGAGGCAATATGTGAAGGGCTGGAGGAGGATGTGAGAAATAGCACTACAGCAATAGTATGTAAAGCATTATTTCTAAGATTTTGGAAAAGGGAACTACAGAGTTTTTGTCCTTTTCAATTTATACTTTTGAATGATTCAGATCCTTTTGTTGCTCTCTTCCTTGAAGATTTTAATTCATTTTTTCTGCCTACTTCACTTCCCACTTACCTCTCATGGTAACAGAGCTTTTATAACTAATTAGCTATGCTTCCCAGTAGAGGACTTTTAAGAAAACAATACGTAGGTGTTGTGAGACTATTTAGTTTTCTTATACTGTATCAAAGTGTTATGTTCTAGCTTTTTCTAGTGACCTCTTGCTATGGCATTGTCTGCTCTCTATTGTGCTAGTGATCTCTGGGGTTCAGATGACAGATTGAGTAAGTAACTTCAACACTATAAAAGGAGGTGTCCCATGCATTGAGGCAGCTAAAAGAGGTATTTGAACTTTCATGTCTCTTGATATGGAAAAAGTTGTTATCCAATGCAGACTTCCAGGCTCCAGCTGGTAGGGAGACCCTTTGGTTGAGCTGTCAAGGGCAATCAGGTGCTCTGCTCTCTGTCTCTCAGTACCAGATGTAGCATGTTGAAAGATCACAGAGCAGGCTAAAGAGTTCTCTGATCTACCCATTTTCTTCATGTCTTTGTTATATTAAATAGCTTACAAAAATATTCTAGCTGTACAGTTTGGTGGTTTATTCTTATTGAAGCTGCACTTTTAGAGATTCCCCGAACTAAATTTGCTGAACCTATTTTCTGTGTGTCCAATTAATTCATGTTTCAGACTCCTATGATATAAGTGTGCTTACAGTTAGGCACCAGGAAGAACTGGGAGATATGCCACTCTTCTGAAAACTTTATTCTCAAATTTCATCTATTGACCCTCTAAATGCAAAGTGTTGGAAAGCCCTCCAGCTGCTTACCAGTAAAGAGCAGACTGTCCACTCTAATGAACACTGAAATCAAGAACAAATTTCACTTTCCTGAAGCTTTCTTAACATCTTTAACTATTCCCTTACTGTGTTCATTTTATACTTTAATAAATTATCATTCCCACCATATCTGAGAGGCTTCCTGCTTCTGATACATTGGAAAATCTTTTCCCAAATCATTTGTGTACCTGCAAAGAGTGACTTCTCTTCACTTGGCTGTTTGTGGTTTTACATTTAATTTGTCAGAGCATACACTGCCTTTCCATTTCTTTATTTGAACATAAATAACACTTACTGTTTTTTCTTTACCTATTTTTGAGGGTATGAGAGAAAGAGATCCTTTTTGTGACTTTATGAGAATGTATCTGCTCTGAGACTGTGATGTTTTCATGCATCTGCCAGTGTTTTGCCCAGCAAGAAAAACTTTTATCTACTTTTAAAAATATAGTGTGTTTTCCAAAACTGTGCGCACTTTAGAAGACTTTTTTTTTTTTTGCATTTTTCTTGTTTTATTTTATTTTTTCCTTTGTGGGGATGCTGCATGGGAGTACAGTGTTGTTATTACAGAAGGGACCTTCACTATTTCTGTGAGGAGGCATGTATGGTTTGCTACTAGAAACTAAATCAATTCTCAGAGTAGCAGCTCTGATGAACAGCTGTAGGTGACTCCCCAAAGTGTCAGGCCTGCATCATGTTCGTGAATGATTTGTGTGTGGATAACTGAAGTCTCCTGTGCTGAACTGAAGTTTCTGTGCTCCCTGCTTTTGAGTTTCTCTAATCTCCCCTAAAATTTCTGTAACTGTCGCATTTTGTGCTGGACAGTTTACAGCTGTCTCAGTAATACTCATACTCTTACTATTTAAGCATTGTGCTTTCATCCTTAGAAGTCCATTTTTTTTTTTTTTTTTATAACATGGAGTCAAATATGACTTAATGCACGCCGTCCGTTCCCCATCAATACACTCTGATCTTCAGCTTGTTACTTCTATCTTGTGTTTTCACTGCAATGTGAAGATGTTTCCTGCACCTAAGTTTGCAACTGATATCCTGTACCTGATTTAAAAGCAGGCACTGTTTCATATATCTTGGTTTTTTTTTTTTTTTTTTTTTTTTTTTTTTTTTTTTTTTTTTTTTTTTACTTTTTTTTTTTTTTTTTTTTTTTTTTTTTTTAATGGTTTAGCATTTTAGAGAACTTTTTGTTCTTAGCTGAAAATATGTTTACTGATTTTATTACTTCTTACTAGAACTTACAAACTGGCATTTCATTCCCTCTTCAAGGACGTACCATTTATGACTTTCCCTACAGGGCACATTATACTGAACTTTGTGCCTTGCTGCATCTGTCAGTTTTCTTCAAGTCTTTTGCTTAAAATTTCTGCCAGAGGGTGGAGATCATATAATTGAATTTCATGTACAACAAGAACATAGCATTGAAAGTGTAAGATCAGATTTATGAGGCAAGGGCCTCTGCAGAGTCTTATTTTTGGTATAAGGAAGCTTTGCTTCAGTTAATCAACTTGTTCCTTAATTGACTAAGCTGAAATAAATCTCTCTCAAATTAAAGCACGTGCAGTTAGCACTGCTTAATTATGTCAAATTAAATTTGTGCCTGACGTTATATGGATGAAACTTCATCCTGGAGGTGAGCCTAAAGTTACACTGGAATAGAAATAGAAATTAGTTGGCATGTGATAACTTTGACCTTTACCTCCTAAAATGTTAAAATATAATGTTTTAAAAATGAAAGTCAATCATTATCTTTGAATAAGAGAGGAAAAGAAAATAAAGGCTTTCTGACACCTTAGTTGCTAAAATATCTTTTGCAGATGAAAAATCCTGCGTATATCACCAGGTCCTTTTTTCACTCATACATATAATTTGTTACTTGTTCAGTGTCAATCTGTTTCCCACCCTGTTGAAAACAATGGCATAACTCATACTGCTTTCTGTGACAGTGGGCTCAATTACCGCTTTTCTGTTATCCCTTGGATGTCACTGTTTTACACTTACTAAATGAAATCCTGCTCACATCTATATATCAGCCCAGTGAATCTAAGCATGACTGCTTGAATGCATTTATTTCTTTAAGTGGTCAATGTATTAGGTGAGTGATCTTATTTTGTTAATCATCTGAAAACAAATAACAAGCACAAAGATTTCTGTGCTGTGTTGTTTCAGTTGATTCATGTAAACCCTTTTTGGCCCCATTTCAGGATAAAGCAGGAATGGAACTTCATACTAGAGTGTCGGAAGAAGGGCATCCCACAATCAAAATACCTCAAAAATGGCTTTGTAAATACTGATGAGAAGATCTTGGATAAGTATGGAAAGACTCCTCAGCTCCATAAGAAGAGTGCTTTGGCAGCTGAAATAGAGAGGGAAAGAAGCAAGTTTGTTTTTCAGCTTTCTGGAGAGCAGTGGACGGTAAATATAATGGCAAATGCATTTTTATTTGAGTGGCTTTGCACTGTAACTTTTAATCCCACTTTTTTTTTTTTGAACAATGCATATAAAACTGATAGCTTTTCATTGTGTTAGAAGTGACAGAAACATTCTTCATCTTGCTCTGAACTAACAGTTTAGTTCTCAAATAAACTATTTGAAATTCTCTCCTGATATATGTAATTTAGTCCTTGCAAAAAATATTAGTGTGAGCAATCACGCTGCAAGAAGATGTCTTTCTCTTAAATTCCCTCCTGAATGGAAAACAATGAAAATAATATTCAGTTTTGTTGGCTTGTTGAAGTCTTCTGCTACTCAGAGATCTGCCTTCTTGCTTTAATGATGTGATAACTCTTTTTTTTTCAAGCTTTGTTCAAACCAAAAGTGACATTTGCATCAATCCAGAACTGCTTGGAAAAAAAAAAAAAAAAAAATCTTGGTTCTATTTTGTGTGAAATACTAGTTTAGAAGTGAACTCATTTGAAAGGTGGGTTAGAATGGGTCTGAAGTCTTTTAGATTGTTCAAAGTTTCCACTGAAATGCATTTTGACTACAAGATACTTTTGAGTACTTTTCTCTCCCAATGTCATGGGGTATCTCAGCTTCCATACTTTGTTTAACTAGCCTGGTTAAAATGAACTTCCTGTTTCAAAGAAGTATGGTGATGTAGTTTGTGGATGACTGTAGATTATGATCAAATCTAAACATAATTCATATACCTTATTTGAAGAGGACCCATCCCTCTTCAAGGTCAAAGAATTCTGGCGTTCTCCAACAGCTGAAAATTGTCAAGTGTTTTTTCACATTTTTTTTAAATGAAGTTCTACAGACTGTATCCTTTCCATAGTTTTAGACATTTTTCAGAAGTTCAATATTGATTATGCAAATCATACCATCTCCTTTTTTTTGGCAGTTTATCTCATCTGATGTTTCCAAACCAAAGGCACAATGAGTCATGACACTTTTCCATCTCATCGCTCTCTCAAGAGAGTGTGTTATGGAAAATGTATTTGCAGACCATAACCAAATGGATTAAAAGCTGCATAGGCTGACATTTGGCATGTGAAAAAAAAAAACTGGGGACATGAGAATTTTATCAGAAATTCCTGCACGTTATAGTCAGGATCCGTGAAAAAAACTGTGTTTTAGTTTTTGCAAATAAATTTGCAGAGAAATACACATATGAAGGGAAAGTGGGGATGATTGAGCACTTGGACGCTAGGAGATCTCAGAGCCAAGGTTGGCTGTGTGGTCTTACAGGCACGTAACCGTTTTGATTTCCCACTCACTGGCCCAGTACTTTTGGCAGCAGCAAGCAGCACAGCCATGTGAAGCGTCCTTTTGGGAGCTACTGCTGAATCCTGCATCTAGCTTGCTTTTAGCTGATAAGTATTTCTATTATGTTTCTCTTTTTCTCCTCTCAATGAAGCCATAACATATCCTCTTGACAGTCGACCGCTAAATCTGAAGTAAGTTGCTGGTATGACTTACAGATTTAATTTTGAATGCTGGGCCTGCTTCTGGCCTTTACCAGTTCTCCTCCTACATATTGTGAAATTAAGTCTCATGTAGGAGTGATCCCCAGTTTAGGGACTTAGCAAGATCAGAATAAATGCCTTTGCAACATGCTTGCCATAGGATTTTATGTAGGAGTTCTCTTGGAAGTTTCTTCAGGAGCAAATGGTCAGACTCTACAAGCTACCTAATGGATTTGTCTATGAACTCATAGTTAATGAGGAAAGTGGGTTATGTTTGGGATCCATCAGGCCTAGCAGTCCTAGTGTTGCTTTGGTGGTAAAAATGTAGATGTGCCACAGGCTTCCTAATGTCCCATACGCCACACCTGCGTGGCATAGCGGTCAATCTGGCCCACTGATTCCACCTTGCAAGTTTCAAAACAGGCTTCATAAAACCTTCTGTTGTGTACTAGGGTAGCCTGCACAACTATTTTGATAACCAGTCGAACAGTCATTTTTGGAAATTACTTTTGGATCGCTTTCAGAGAACCTTTTGCAACAAGAGAAATCAGAGCAGATCACATTTTGAATTCCTAATAGCAATTGCTTTCTTTAGGACCTCTTTGTCACTTTTCTTCCACTTCAAATGTTACTGAAATGGTGATATGTTTTCATGAAATAGACACTTGCTGTTCCTTTCAGTTGTAAAATTGTTGTAAAACTCTAACTTAGAGTCGATGAGGATCAGGTAATGAATATTAAGTTTAATAGGCATAGAATACTAACTTAAGAAAGCAGGACTTGGTTTTACAGTATCTGAGTTTTGAGTAAGTATATTCTGAGTAATTCCATAATTCCTTTTAGCTCATTAATTCTTACTAGCTATGCTTCACTTGTAGGCCAGTTTTTGAGGCATGCAGTTTGAGCTACACCTCTCAAATCAATGGTTTTATAACGGTGTAATTGCATTAACTTAGTGGGATTTCTTATGGTGCTGTAAGGAAGATCAGCATCAGGCCTTTACACTTAAAGACCTTATGATCAGTGAGCCTCTGAATCTGAAAAAGTCTTTGCACAGTGAAGAGATGGTTTTATCTTTTTCAGTCAGAGATCCACTTGGAAGAGATTGTGTGATGGCATTCTTAGTGTTTGATGGTCCTTGACACCTCTTTTGTATATCAATGAAATATTTATGAATTGAGCATCTGCATCTGCATCTCTGCCCGCTGGGAATATGTGGACAGTAATGAATTAAGAAAGCTGTTGGTCAGCCAAGTATTTATATTTAGCAGCTGAAATAAAACATTAGGAAAAAAGAGGTCTTAAGACAACAAATGGGCTAGTCTCCTAACGTGAAAGAAGTCATGCTTGTCCTTTCCTTTTATATAATAAAGGCAGAAGCTAGCTGTATTCCCCCCAGCATAAATTCTGGTAAATCCTGATGTGTTTAAAAAGTCTTGGGACTTGTCATGAGGAGAAAGATGTACTGTGCCACAAGTAAACTGAGGTTTCTCAGGTATGTTCAAGAAAACTTTCTTCTTAGGGTGTTCCAAGCAAAACCACCATAAAAAGGAGGTATAGAAGATCTCTGGTCTCTTGAAATGTGCATTTAATATCCACTGCCTAGAGGAGAATACTGGAGAGTTGATGAAACTCTTAACTGAGATCCTTTGTACATGTAAACATGTACCTACTGAATTAAATTAGTTCTTCAGAGAAAAAGGACTGCTATTAGAGCTGAATGGAAACTGTAGCAAAATAATGTCATGAATATTCATTTGAATTTTTAAATGAATTTACTTTGACTCTGTTTTTTCCCCTCTGTGTGTTTGCTTCCTGCTTCTAACTAATGAATATTTATTCTCCACTGGATCAACAGATTTAAGATAATTTTGAGAAAACATTCTAGAAAAGTAGACCTCTGAATCTGTCAGTATTGGTAAATGAAAAGTGATAATGTTAACTCAGACAGAACAGGATTTGGTTCAGGGCTATGCTGCTTTGCTCCAGCAGAAAATCTGGATCCATGCCTATTTTAGACAACTTTAATAATCACATGTGCACAACACTGATGGATGATAGCCTGCAAATTTTTATACTAGGAAATCATTATCTTACTGCACATAGTTTGTGAACAGAAAAAGGCAGCAAATTAATGAAATTACTCATTATCATTAATTCCCTCAGTTTCACTGTTGGACATAAATTCTTTTTTTGTTTAGAATGGAGAAATTCTCTCTTTTTTTTTTTTTTTTTTTTGGTGAGTGTTAGTAACAGTGAAGTATCACTTTGCCACAACAGCTCAAGTAGAATCACTGCATTGAACACAAAATCTGTCACATGAATACTCACTTCCAGAGATTGTCCCTCTCTCCACCAGTACTTGTAAAATGTTTGATCTGGTCAGATGACATGGAGTATTAATAGTTTTGTAAATGGGGCAAAACTTTCTCAAAGATGAGAGAGATTTGGATTCAAGGTTTCTTTTTGGCCCATGACAAATGAAATTACAGAGCTGTGTTAAGAAAAAGATTTGAAACTTCTGAGCTGTATGCTTTGGTTACAGTTTTAGCATGGGCTTATGCCTAGCAGGTAAATTCTCTCCTCATTAGAAATAGAAAAATTAGCAATGGTTGTAGCTTTGCTATTTATTAATAGCATTTTTTCTTTTTTTTCCTTTTTTCCCCCTGTTTTTCCCCAAAATCGAAGGAGTTTGAGGTATTGTTTTTCAGTAACATACAAAAGACTGGCTATCCTCCAAGTGTCAGTCTTCATGGAGTAATTTATCAGCAGGCTGCCAGCTTTAGTGTGGCAGAAGAAGATTACAAAAGAGCACAAGGGAATCAGAGTAAAGCAAACATAAAGCTTGTGCAAATTTCTGTCTCCATCCCTAACTAGTTTGTAACTGAAATAAAATATCATATAAATTTATGTTTCAGCTCACACAAATACATGGTGAAACATCAGAAATATATGGCAAGAAATCAGAATTTTTTAAAAGAATTTTTATAAGGACTCTTAAGCACAGCCAATTACCCTTGCAAAATGTAAATGTGATGAAAAGACTCAAAGAAACTATCTCAAGGAAAACAAAAAATAAGTCAAGGCATTTGTCAGAAGACACCACATTCTAACCTGGTTCCATTACTTTGAAGTTTCCATCTTTTTTGAGTTCTTGCATTAGAATATCTTGACACTAATAATGTAATCCTTAAGATGGCAAGTAATGTTTTTTTTTTAACCATTTTTTCTCTTCACCCTAAGAGATGGTGAAAAAAACGCATCACTTCATCTCATTTTTCTGAAGTTAAAAAGTAGCTGAGCTGTTTGATCTTTATCTGAGAGAGCGCTTGTGTTTTGTGGTTTTTTGTGTATCAAGGAGAAGTTTGTGGGATTCTGCTTACATTGTAGAGAGATTTCCTGATGTTGGCTTTATGGAGGCCTCTGCTCCCCACCATGTCCCTTGAGCCAGCAAGGAGTCAGAGGTGGTCAGGTATGATACTGAGGTGAACAAAACAGGAGTTCAATAGAACAATTTTTGGATTGTGGCACTATGGAGGAAATAATGGTGACTGCTGTCGGGTACCAAGACCTATTTTTCCCCTGGTATGACTATGTTACACATCTGCTTTCTCTGTGAATCACAGTTCTTCCTTAGAGCATCATCTATGCAGATCCAGCTAAATGCTGTCCCCATGTGCTGCATCTTAAGTTCTGTAACAGTGGAGAAAAAAATACTAATTGAATCCCCAGTTAGTGTTTATCCTTTTATTTTGCTGCAGAAAAATATGCACCACCAAAAGTGGAGGAGTAGAAGAAACCTACTCCAGAAAGTTAGAGAGATTTCACATTACTGCCCCTGAGGCATTTCAGGCATTTTATTTTTTAACTGTCATAAACTGACAAATATATAAGATGGATCACAGTGCAATATACAGCTACTGGGAAAATGAAGCAAGAAATGAAATGATCCATATCAAACATGGAAAGGCAGGTGGCAAGGCAGAACAACCTTTATAGGCTAAATGTCTGCATGCATAAGTTGAAAAGCAACATAATTAGAGACTGCATAACCAAACAAAAAACTGTTTATGATCAACAGTTCAATATATCTTTAATTGCAATTAGATATTTTAATTTAACTAAAGGTTAAGTAGCACATTTCCCAAGTTTTAGTAAAAGATAATTAAAATGCATCACCCTTTTTAATGTCCTTGTAGATCCATGAAATCTAGAGGGAAGAAAATTACCTGGAAGTGTCCTCTGTATAAAAACAGTAATTTCTACTGTGAACAATTCTACTTGCACGGGGGAAAAAAAAATAGAAAGGAATTAAATGTTAAAACTATTACATTTCTTTTTATGGAGCAGAGGTAGTAATAGCACGTCATCCAGATTATTTATTCCAGATGTTACCAATGAACAGTGCTATAAAATCAAGAATAGACAGGTAAATTATGTGCTGCTTTAAAAAGTGGAGTTTAAGTGATATGACCTTCTACTTTATCAAGTGATTTTTATCTTATTTAACTTTAAGGAATTTGGTTGCGTGATTCAAACAAAGATGAGCAAGTCTGAGCTGAATATCAATAGATACAACGATATTGTATGAATTACGACTCTAAACCCTTCACTCTAAATGTTATATGTGAAAAATTTTGAACAAATAGAAGAGTGTGTGAAGATTACTCAGGCAAACTTATTTACTGCATATTTAGAACAGAGAAATTCTAAAGAAAAAGCTTCTGAATGACTTAAATGATAATTATTTTCAATTCTGGACTAGCTAAAATCAGTATATTTTTCTATAAAGAAAAGGTAGAAAATTCTCAAATATTGGAATGGCTTAGGAAGTTAAATCACTTCTATAAAAAACAAGACTTTCCAAGTAGTATTTGAAATGTTCCTGTTTTTTAGTCTGTGTTGCATCTTAGCAAACAAACTTCTGAACATTAGCAGGTTTTAAGTAGTTTATGTAGTTATACATTTTTGTGTGTGTTGCAAAGTTCATTTTGATATTGCTTATGCACTTGCATTTTAACCATATCTTGATGTGTGAACTAAAACAACTGAAATGTGCCTTTTTTTATTTTTTTTTTAAATCCTAAAGCTGGAAAAGAGAAACAGGAAAAAAAGAAATAGGAGCCATCAAACAGGTTAAGCACTACTGATAGATTTCAGTTTAAGAGCAAAGCGTCTGCATGAGCAGTTAAAAACTGTCTGTATAGGAACAGACAACTTCAGTGATCTTCAGAGAACAGCTCCTACAAGAATTGCTGAACAAACTATCTACATTAAGATAATTAAGGCAAAATGTTGAAGTTTGGCCATAGAATTTTCTCCATTCTTTTTAGAAATATGGTAGAACCCAGTTCCAGCCTGATGCTTTATATTTATGAAATATCATTTAATTTGCAGGAATTCCCAGATTCACTGAAAGAACAGACCTATCTGAAAGAATTGCATGTGAGCAACACGTTGATACAAACCATTCCAGCCTACATTGCCTTGTTTCAAGATCTGAGAATACTGGAGCTGCCAAAAAATCAAATCACCCATCTCCCTGTGGAAATTGGTATGTTGGATCATACTGTTTAGCTATTTATACTCTCACTATTTCATTATAATGAAGGACAGTGAGTGTGCTTGGCTATTCTTATTCATTTCCTGATAATTAGCTTGGTTGCTTCCAGCCAGTACTTCGTCAGTTTTTACAGCTGTGTAATTATATTTGCTGAATTGCTTGCAATATCATGGGTTAAGTAGAGCACAGATTGGGGGAAAACTCACATAATATCAGACAATCACTATTGACATTCAAGCACATGGGGACTCGGCCTGAGAATGGGAGGTGTTTTATGTTCCTATATGTTCTGACAGGATAGACTGAAGCAAAAGATGCTAATAATAGGAGAGTACACAAAGTATATATTTTTTTGGGGAAAAAAACTTTTCAATTTTATAACAAGTTCAATAGTTATTACTGTGTAAAATGCTATTTCCAATTACACCACAGGGATTGTTAGAGAAACAATGTAATTCTTAACTCTTATTTTCTTTGTCCTTAACTCTTTTATCTACGTAATAGTAATTTTCATGTGTTTGGCTTTTTTGAAGCTTTTTGATTTTACAAAAAAGAAAGACATTTTAAAAGACTAGTAGTTTGAGAGGGAGTTGCTCTTAAAGGGAGGGATGTCTCTGCAAGCAGTGAGCTGAAGAAATTGTGTTCTGCGAGAGGTTATTGGCCCCTGCTACTTAGGTCCCTACACAGAAATATATAAGCCGCCTAACAGCTCAGCCTTTGGCTTTTAATAGTCCTAATAGTCCTAATTTTGCTCTATGTCTTAATTTCCTCATGTACCCAATGAGTTAATATCTTTCAAGTGAAGAATAAATACTAAAAATATCTCCAAAATTACCATAATTTTAACTAAGAGACACAGGAAGTGACTCTCCTGAACTACAGAATTCACCTCCAACCTTTTCTACTGATAAGACTAACAGTAATAATTTGTGATTTATTTACTGACATTTTATTTTACTCAGAAAATACTGTTTGTTTCCAGAATAAAGGCAAAAAGCCAGATAAGGGAGACATAGCCTGCTCTCTAGAGAGGATAATTTAGAAGCTGTTTTGGACCTTTTATTTTGGAGAAATAAGGAAGAATGTTTCAGATGCACCTGGTAGAAAGCACTGTTCTTTCAACTGCCTTTTAAATGACATGAATTCTGTTCTTTGGGAGCTTTCCAGCTACTCCCATTCCTCTATATTCCATACAGTCTGTGGTCATGACTCTAGCCATACCCACCATGTTGGGTATGATCTCTTTTCCTTTTGATATTTTTGTTGCTACCTTTTTGTTTAAATATTTGACTGAAAGTATCAGTGAATATTAGAAAGCAGTTTCCTGTAAGAGAGCTCCAGATCTGGTATTATAGCACACACCACTATCCTTTTAAAGCTGATCTGTTGTTCTAAAAAGAGGTTTCAAGGTTTGTAAGATGAGGATGTGCATGATTGTACTAAACACCCATCTGGAGAATCCTGGGTATGAATCTTTCCTCTTGAGATGCTGTATAAATTTACATGAACCTATCACTGGATAAAACATGTTTGATAAATGGTAGAGGAAATTTATACAGTAGTTTTGTATCTCAGCAGTATATCCAGACAAGTTTATCCTAGTAGCTTAGGGAAAAGGATACTACTGGGCTGAATACTGAAGCCAAACTACATGCAGCCTTTTTTTTTTTCTCCTAAAATGACCTAATCATTCTCAGCCTTAATAAATGTCCCGTGTTGATGGACAATCTCTTAAAAAAGCAGCAAAAGCAGCTGCCTTTGGTCTGGTAGAGACTACAGAGAGAGTACAGAGACTACAACTCAAATAATACCCTCTCAGTTGTTAGGTAAGGTGTATACATCCAAATAGCAGCGGTTTATTTGCATGTACTATGTATGCACACACACACACACACACACACACACACATAGGCATTGGCATGTATTGGAAGTGTTCATTATCTTCATAAGATCTTACTGTGAAAAACGTCTTTTTTTTTTTTTTTTTTGGCTGCTGCTTCATGTTATGAAAAGTCCCAAACTCCAGTCATCTAACTGCTAAATTATCACAGAAAAAAAGTCTGTGTGGGTTCAGTTTGTGAGCTTTATCTATGCAAGGAGTGAGGATTGGCTGTTAAATCAGAAGGTAAGGTCTCTGGAAAGGTTAAGTGCTTAGGTATTTATCATTTTGTGTTCTGTTTGCAAAACAGCGGTGAGTAGATAAATATCACAGCTAAAACGTACTTGAGAGTAATGACAGATGGTTGGAGTTGGCAGTGACATGCATGCTGTGGAGTCTTTAATCTTCAGACAGAAATGAAGCCAAATTTAGACCAAATTTAGAAACTAAACTCGTGAGCCCTGTTAAGGCTACTTCTGATTTTAATGTGATGAGTTTAAGATTGGTAGGAAGAGAGGAGATCATAAGAATATTTTCAGTGGATAAAAAGTATTGTTGCATGTCTCTGTACCAGGAAGTGCTCTGGAACTGGAGCTACTTTAGCTGATCTGGACAGAAAAACTCTGCTCTGAATCAGAGAGAAGGAAGACCTGAACTTTGTTCTCAGATATTTCAGAATAAACTCTTGGCTATCTTCACACTTGCAACTGAAAATATCATATTTGGATCAGAAAACAGCTCAGATTATTTTTTGACTTGATCCTTTTTGTGTAGTAGCATATGTTTTCAGGGAAATGAGTAAACAAAAACACTGAAAACTTGACAGAATGAAAAATGGAACTGTTGTCTGTCTAGGAGTCCTTGATTATGTTTTTCACAGGAATAATAGAAAATATCACAAACATGGTATATTTGGAGGGTTTTCTTGAGTAACAGCTTTTTCTTGATCAGCACTTCAGGATTTTATACAATGGTGAAGGTACGGCTGCAGCACTGTGCCTTGGCATCAGGTTATGAGTTGGTTATACAAGCAACAGGTATCATTAAAGATATCTGAAAGAACATACTCCTGAATTCATATGACGTAATAGTCCAAGGCTTTGTATGATTGCTCAGCTTTTCCAAAGATGGAATAGTGAGATTGTATGAGGATTTCCTTTTTTGCCCACGCATTATTCCCAAATCACCTCAAAGAGGTATTAATAAATATTTGCGCCTCATTATATTCTTTCACATTCCTGATGTGCCAAGTATTTAGGAAGAAAAAATAACTGTATTTCTCAAGGATGTCTTTAAAAGAAAAATAGGGATTTTTTCTTCTCTCTACCCTACATTGTGAAATTTCACTTGTGCATAGCATTACTCCAATTGCTCAGAAAATAGATGGAAAAAATTTTGTGTTAGAAATTTAAATGATCTCTAGATATCTAAATTAGCTTTTTCTACTAATAAAATACCCAGTGTGTCAAAACTTGAATTTCCAAGGGGAAAAAAAAAAGGATTCTCAGTTTAAATGCAGTTCAGTTTTGAGTAATTAGAAGACATCATGTTGTTCCCCTGCTAGTTGCTAAGTAATGAATATTATCTGTCCAGTAACTGACTTGTATAACAGTGAGATTTTTTCTCTAAATTCTCCATTTGAAGGGAAAGTATTAACACCTTTCCTACAGTTGTTGACAGTTTTTAAAAGGGTGCCAGTTGCTTTTAAGCTGGTTGCTCAAATGATGGCCTGTTAATAGTGTAACAGCTGGTGAGATAATGAGAATTTAACCTATGGTTACTATACCACAAAATACTAAAGTGTACTTTATATTTGGTCACATCAGCAGAAAATAAACTCTTTTTGTTCCTCTGCTTAAGCTCCCAAAGTCAGGAATGCTGTACTAAAATGTAGCACAAACATTCTGCCTTAACAAATTTCAGCACTATTGGATCTTGCAAAGGCCACATAGTGCCATGGGGTAAATTGGAGCTCACATTGGAACTCTACCATGGAAACTACTCATTATACAAACTATTTTTTGCCAAAAGATTCTTATCTACTGAGTTTGTCATGTAATTTTATGCAGCTACATTATATATAAAATCTACCCTGGACTTATTCTCTTTGGTCTTGGTCTTGGGAGATGCAGTGGTTTTTTGGGAAATTGATACGGTCCTCTTGGGAGTTACAGTGTTTATTTGGGAGATTGATATGGTCCTCCCTGAGAAGAGTGGAGTCCATGTACCAGCTTATCTGCTCAAATGAAAAAAAGCTAGTCATATGTAGATGCTTTCATATAGGATTTCTGATTTACCAGAATATCTTCAGTTCACTACTTTCACTAGATCCTTGCCCTACATTTTTAACCTGGCATTATCTTTCTCTGCTTTCACAAGTTTTTTCATGTTTTTCTCCCCCATTCTGCTCTGAAAAGACTCTCTTTTTCTTACATCCTATTAAGACTTTTCTAATTACAGGCCTAGTTTCCAAGCTTTACCAAGCTTTATTTCCATTTTAATTTTCTTTATTTGTAACAGTAGCTCATAATTTCTATCAGCAGATTTACATTTTTTTTTAATTGAGAACATGAGTGTTGGTTCAAGAATGAATTTTACTAGCCCAGAGTCAATCTGCTACACTACTACAATTTTTATAAGTCCTAGTGGCAAAAAAGAGATTTTGCATATTTGTTATGAAAAAAAGTTTAATATGAAAGGGAGTCAAAATTTTTGTTGTTGTTGTTGTTGAATGTTTTGATCAGAAGTGCAAAAAAAAAAAAAAAGCTGATGTTTAAACATCAGCTTGTCACCTGTAAGCTTGAACATCAATATGCCCCTTCAAATAAATCAAAGACAGTGTCACTGATATAGCAGAGAAGATTGGAAAAAAGAGGCTATTTGTCTTGGCTCATAGGAAACTGCTGTGCTTGCTAATTTGGCATGACTGGGTGAGATCAATGCAAAAATTTGCTTTACATTCTAGTTCGATTCATACAAACGGAGCTATATTAGTATTGAATACTTGGTTGCTAAAAGCTACCTGTAACCTCACCAATATTTTGTTTCTCAGATGCCATATTGGGAGTGTTAATACAGACATATTTAAATGAGGAAGTTGCATTGCCCATCA